ATGGAGAACCTTGTGGACATTGACTGGGCAGATGTCAGGGTGGGCGGGACGTCAGCCCGGGCCGGGACAGGCCAGGACAGGGGGAGAGGCATGGGTGGGGTGGGTTGGGTTGGTATTGGAGTTTGGTGATGAGTGAAGTCAGATGCATATTCGTGTTTCGTCCGCACGTCAGCCGACGGGCCTGCCTGCGTCGCTGCTGGTCAGCTGCATGCTATTCTCTTGCGGCGCCGCTGACCTCAGCCTCCACAATCCTAGAGTTGCTTGTCAAATCTCTGGCATCTGCCGTTGCCTGAGTCCTCATGCCCCTCACCCCCCACCGCACCACCGCTGCACCCCTGTCGTCCACAGCAAGCCCTGCCCGCCTTCATCACCCTCGTCACCATGCCGGTGAGACGCCGCGCGCCCTCTCCCCCTCACGCCCCCGCAGCGCTAGGCCTTGCCTCTCCTGCAACACGCTGTGCATGTGATGACCCTTGTTTCGCTTCTAATCCCAGGCCTAGTAAACACCCTTCATCCAGGAACACACACACAAACACACACATGTAAGCACGCGCACTCTCTTACCACCCACGCCACGCCGATCGGCCCGCCTCACCCCGCAGCTGACCTACTCCATTGCGTACGGCGTCATCGCCGGCTGCTGCAGCTACCTCACCCTCTACCTGGCAAACCTGGCGCTGGACCTGGGGGCCGTGGCGCTGGGCCGCGCGGGCCTGCGCAACGTGCTCTACGACGCCTGCCCCGAGGCCTTCCAGGACAAGCTGACACCGCCGCCGCCCTTCCACAGCCCCAGCGCGGTGCTGCAGGTGGGTTCAAGGGGCGGGGGCGCACAGCGAAAGTCGGTGGTAAGGGCTTAGCCATCATATCATTCGCTTGCCGTGTGCTTGACCAGCGAGATTGCGTTCGGGCCTGAAAGGCAGAAGGTGGGCGAGCAGCGAGTGGGGAAGACAGGCCAGCAGCCGCCTGTGTGCCTGTTGTTGCATGATTTCAGATCTCATCTCACCCCTGGCTGCCGCCGCGCGCGGCATCCGGCCGGCCTGCCCTGCCCGTCCGCCTGCGCAGGACCATGTGAACCCCGAGCACGCGGCGCACTTTGCCGCCCTGGAGGGCAAGAGCCCCGACGCCGCCGCCCTCGACGACAAAGCCCGCGGCCTGCCCACCCACGACACCAAGACAACGGACTCCAAGCCGTAAACGGCCCCCGCGCGCGCGGCGGCCGGGCGGGCGCCGCTCCGCGTCCGCGGGTGCGCACCCGCTGCTGGCTGCTGAGGGGTCACTGCTATGCTCAGGGTCCCGCGCACGGCTTTTATCACACTGGGCAGTATGCGCGAGGAGGGCGGCTGAAGCGCGCGTGCCTGCTCTGCTGTGCGCTTCGCGACCTCGCTATTTCATGGGGTGGGTAGGGAGGGGGGGGTGCCGTCTTGGCTGGAGCGTCCACGTGCCTGGCCGCTTCGTACTATGTGCATGTATGGGCCTGTGTGGCTGCCCTTTGGGTCGCGAGTTGCCCGCCATGCGCCGCATGACACTGCACTCCACCAGACGTGGGGGGAGGGGGAAGGGATCGCGTCCCCGAGTTGTATCAGTGGCGCCCATGCCGCCTGCGGTTGCCGCAATATCTTGTTGCGAATCACGTGCTTCGCATGAGTCGGTGGTTGCGAGACAACACCATCACCCACCGCGTGTATGGCCGCAAGCCTTTTTGCGACCTTTTAGCAGCCTCGAACAGCAGAATCGGCGGGGCGGGCGACGAATGAATTGCACGCGATGCATGTGCCAACATCACAGCGAGTCTGTGCCAAAATCATTGTATTTCCTTTTCTGAATACGCACTGCATGCATGTCGTGGGATCCCATCGGGCACGAGTAACTCCGCTTGGGGCCCATACTCACTGTTTCGCGGCTGCGCGCTGCATCGGCCGCTGGCGCAAACCCCGGGTGGGCGACATGTATCCATGTGTTGGCAACGACCGCCGCAGCGATGAGCGCGTCTCCGTGCGAGTGCATTCAAGAGCGACGACGTCCGGCGGGCTAGCATGGGCCGCTGGAGCCAGGGTCGCTGAATGCTGTGCAAGCCACTGCAGCGCCGTGAGGCGCGCCTGCTGCCCAGGTGGCCAGGTCGCCAACAGAAACATACACCAAGCGGTGGGGCGGGCCCTGGGGCCACTGAGCCGCGGAAGCATCAACAGACAAAACTTGCAAGCCATCAAGCTGTTAACATGCCAACATTGCAACTGCTCAGACGCTTGTATCCCGACAGGTTGGGCCCAGCTGGGCTGCAGGCAGCCGGCGCGGCGAGCACATGGGGCCCCTCACACAACAATTCATGCATCCGTTCCTATCAGTTGACCGCAGCGGACGACAGACAGGTCGTGCTGTTGTGGTGGTATGTGTCCGTGAATGCACCTTGTCTCACGCGAGTGTTTGCGATACCCCGTGTGGCCCCGCCCCGTGCTCACCTGACCCCTGTGAAAGAGGCACCGCACTCACCAGCCATGCGGCCTGATCAATTGAACAACAACAACTAAACGCAACCTTCCAGCTATAGTCGCCTATCATACATCTCTACGCAATCACCCCCGTGCGTGCCCACCAAGCAGCATCGCATCCATATCAACTCAACAGCGTCAGCAGCGGAAAGAATGGCAACACAGCGCAGGACACAACGGCTACACAAAGCCTCTAAGCCTGCGGTGGTGCGGGACGAGGCCGACGACACACCAACCGTGCTCGACATTATGCGCTTCGCGCTGCTGCAGCACGCCGGCCTTGTGCTGTGCGTCTTTGGCCTGGCGCTGCTGGCCCTCGGCTACGACCGCGAGTGGATGCACAACACACACCTCAGCATGCTCTCGCTGGTTCTGTGCTTGATAGGCCTCTTCTTCCACGAGACACGCCCCTACAAGGTGACACTGCCGGGGGGTTCCGCTGCGAGAATGCTGCCCGGGTGATGGGGCGTGACGGCCGGGGCGCCAAAGGTCCACGCGCCCGCAATACAGCCAGCAGGGCCACCCCCATGCGCACGCTCGCAGCCCGCGCGCTACTGATGCACTTGCATTCCGTTGCTGCGCGACCCAGCCTGCACGTGCGTCGTCGCTGCCCTAACGTGCCCCGGCCCCTTCTCCCGCCCCAAACCGCGCCGCAGCGTGATGAGGAGTTTCAGCGGAAGATGGAGGCCGAGGCTGGAGGAAAGATCGAATGATGTTAGCTTGATCAATGGCCCGTGCGAACTTTGACTTTTGACTTGTGTGACATGGCCGACTGCATTCCTGTACACTGGCAATTTCGCCTGATGACGGCCCACGCCCTCTGCATAGCGAGCGCCTGGGCGCGCTGGCGGACTGTTGGTTCATGTGTGTTTTTGCTAGACCCCCACGCCCTGGTTTCATTTATTTTGCCGGCTGTGCCCTCAATATGCTGAGGTCGAGCACCCGTGCACTCGGCAAGTTGCTGCTTGTGTTTGTGTACCCAGCCACCGCCACAACGAACCCGCAGTTTACGCACACCAAGCTGTGCTGTGCAGAAACTCCACCAGGGGCTAGCACCCACCTGCAACCTGTAATCCATTCCACCGTGCACGTTGAGACTTGGCTTGGGTTCTGATCTGACAGCTGTGAAGTCGCAATTGCAGGTGTGGGCAGGGCAGAAGTAAGGTGAAGGTCAAGGGCTCTGCAAGGAGCAGGCGCAGTGCCTGAAGCATCGAGCAATGGCAAAAAGCTGGTTGGGGCGCCTTGCAGCCACTGCTATTTTTGGCGGCTGCAGGTGGCAGTGCCAGTGGGGTGTTGACGGGAGGGGACAATAGAGGGCGGGGACCTGAATTCGAGGAGAGTGCTTCACAGCCCTCACCTGCCGGCCTTAGCCTCAACATCCCCTTGTACACTGGTAGCCAGGGTGCGCACCCCTGCTGCACACGTGCGTCGACACATCCCCTTGCCTGGGCTGCTGAGCTGAGAAGCGTCAAGGAACGCTTGGGCCAGCGAGCCTCGTCGCGCGTGCCGACACTGCGCTGTGCAACTCTGCTGCTGCCTCCATCCGCGCATACAAAAAGCTGCCGGGTTCCAAGTAAGGTCAATCTCAATCACTGTGATACTTTTACAAAACATGTTGGGGTTGGGTGGGTGCCACAGCAATGGCCGAGGGATGGTGCAATGGCGGTGCAGCGGCCTGGCCGCATCAACGGGGGCATGCAGATGGCAGGGTAGGGCGGCGTCAGTGGCGCCCGCCTTCGACGGGTGGGTGTGTGAGGACCCCCCTTCGGCACTCAAGTGCACGGATAATTATGCTGCGGATCAAGGCGAGAGTACCGGCAGGCACCAGCCGCGACGTATGTGCACAGGCAGCGGAGCAACTTGCGTGCTTCTCAAAGTGTGGGGAGTGAGTGTCTGTGAATGAGCTTGACGGGCAACTACCCTAAGAATGCATTTCTGTTCAGACGAATTTCTTGTCTTTCTTCGCCGCAGGTGACCGTCCCACCGCATGGCGTGGCAGGGGTGGCCAATCGGCCAACCGCGCAACAGGCAGGCAGCCCAGCAGCAGGCAGCGTGCGGCACGAACAGCACGCGTGGCTTCGGTGCGGCCTGCATGCCATTGCCGAGGGAGCCGCGACAGGCAGGGCCCAGCGGAGCTGCGCGCGCCTCTCCTGCCGAGCGAGGGTCGATGATGACGCCTCGTCAGCACGCCGGCACGGGCATGAAGGGCGGTTTCAAAACAAGGGAAGGCCCGGCGGGCGGCGGGGCTCGCAGGGAGCGAGCGCCCTGCGCCTGGCTGGCGGCCGGGGTTTGTTCCTCGAGCCTCGAGGGCTCGCCCACACCATAAAAATAGACCCGGTCACACCACAACGCCCCCAACCAGCATGATCAGAAGGCCTGCTGAAACCCTTCGGCGCTGCGCCGCGGTGGTTGTGAGGGCTCCGCAGGAGGGCAGTGCACCAGGCTGCTCCCTTGCTATCAGGCGGCAACAGCCTTGGGCGTGGCCCCAAAGTGCTCCACCAGCAGTGCCGTGAGCTTCGGCAGCAGCACCTCCTCCGCAACAGGCACGCCAGACTCAAACTCATCCGCCAGGGCGGGGTTCTCGCCCACCTGGGGATGACGTGGAAAGATCGTGTGTGTGTGTGTGTGTGTGTGTGTGTGTGTGTGTGTGTGTGTGTGATTGCATGTGCGCTTGTATGTGTGTGAGAGTGTGTGTTTCAAGCTGGGCGTGAGCCGCTTTCGGGCAAGACCCAGCTGCAAGTTGCTGTCGCAGAGGGGCACCAGGCCACCGACAGGGGCGGAGCATCCTCTCTGCTGCTGGCGCGGCACCCGCGTTGCTCACCCCTGCCTTGCACGCCCCTGCGCGAGCAATACTCCACGCACGGTCGTGGCCCCTCCTCCCCTGCGCGTCCCTCCTCCGCACCGGCTTGCCCCCTCCCCC